TTAAAGTTTTGTATGGAAATAGCAGAAAAAATTTTCAAAAATTTAAAAAATGTTTCGTTGATGTAATTTATCAAACAAATGAATGAATAAAACACATTCATTTGTCGCTAAGTTATACCTAAAACATTTTTTTTAATTTTCAAACATTTGAAAATTACAGATCAGAAGGCTGAATATAAAGAAATAAAGCAGTAATAAAAGAGTATCTTGATAATAATTGTTTATAATTATTAAATAATAGTTTTATTACAATACGATTAGATTTAATATTAAATAACTATAGACTTTTTCTTAAATAGCTTAGAATCTTATCATAATACATGCTTAGAGTAATATAGTATGCAATTAGAAACACTCAATTAATTTGTTCTTTAGTCGCTTTCCTATATTTCTTTAAACATGTACTAACATATAACAGAGCAGGAGCAAGTTTATTAAAGAACAAGCCTATATATTTCCTCTCCTATGATAATTCATCTAACAAGAACTAAGTAAGACTTTTGTATCAACAATGGACAACTGGAGGATCCCATATATGATATAAGTAATGAGAAGATATATTGAAGAGATGTTTGATATAGATAGACATAGTACAGAAGATATGCGGCTCTCAACGATCAAACATTTGTTCACCATTGACACAAAATCATTCCTCTAACACTATATTATAATGAGATTCACTGAAATTCTTTGTTCTTTATAAATTGTGAAGCTGTCAATATTTAAAAATATCTACGTACAAAATATACATTTTTGTTCCTATATGCTACTTTAAAAATTTTCTCAGACTATATCATCTAATTAAAAAAGATCTGTATCCTGTATCAATACTACCGAAATCATAATGACTTTTATAAAAGTATAATTCGAAAAAACAAGTGTCTAACAGTTAAAAAAAATCTGCTTTATAAATATTTAGTATAAATATTAACCGTGATAAGTACGTGTAGTATTTAAGATATGATGATAATTATTTTATGTTTATATGTATATTTATAATATTATATATATATTAATTATTGATAAATGTCATTACATCATGGACCTTACATACAGGGACCTGCTGGTCGAGCGCAAATAAGTGCTCAAAACAGAAAGGTAAGTGATGTCACATGTCTGAGCGGACATAGCCGACGGCAATCGCGGAAACTCCCGATTGAATTAATATAATTAGAGTTTATTTGAAAGTATTTGAAAGAATTCTATTCGAATCGCAATGTTTAGAGTTAATTGTGAGCAATAATTCTTTTTTTAAAATCTTTCCACAATATTTTTAAAATTCGTAAAAATTTCACTTTATAACAACAAATGGGAAAGTAAAAATGAGTACGTGCAATTCGAACCTCACGATATCGATTGGGAGAAGTTTAAGATGCAATTTTGGATATCTTAAACAATAAAAAATTAAATTAATTTAATTCAACATGAAGTACCAGAGTTACATTTAATCAATCGGGAGAATCCGCGATTGTAGTTGGCAATGTTCGCTCACACATGTGACGTTCCATACCCTCCGGAAAACATATGAGGACTAGCAGTCCATGTAGTGTAATGCCTATGCATTACATACGTAATATTGTATTGATACGATATAATTAGTTTAATTTTATTATAACAACATTGATTTTTTTCTATTTTTCATAAATTTTAGATAAAAATGATTATGATCGTGATAAGTTTCTAATACTGTACGAAGATCAATTTGTAACAATAATAGATACATATATTCATGTATGTATATATTTATACATGAATATATATAATTAACACACATTTGTAACAATCATGAATCGCTACTTTTGTAATAATCAGGAACACTATCTATAACTTTATCTTAATAAATATTTGAAAGACACATTATGTACTTTTATTTTGTTTCAATAATATCTAAGTGTAGTCTCTGTCGAAATTTCTCAAAGTCGAGAGATTCAAACATAAACTTCTAATAAATTCGCTTTATGCCAATGACTATCGGGTACACAAAAAATATAAAGATTATCTGGTCCTAATGAAGATACTCTAGCTAGATCTGGACATTTATATAATTAATATTATCTATACCTGCCTTTGGTTGTTTTTTTATAATATCTATATAGATCTAACTACGTCATAGAGGCAAAACGTAAATGACGATATGCAAATATTATAGAAACTACATTCTTAAAAGAAATAATTACTTTGGTCTATTCTTCTGAAGAAAAGTTATGTTTGTAATAAATTCATATGCCAAATTTCTAATTTTTACCCCTTGTAATTATTAATCTGCCGATAAAATGCATTATAAACGTACTTTTAATATTTAAAGAACTGGTCAAAATGTACATATTTAGTTTTATCTACAAAATATGATATATTTTCTAAGTCACACATTCCAGAGGAAACCAGAATATAAGATAATTTTAATCGTTTGTCATAAACACTAAAAACTATCTAAAAGAAATCCTTATGACTTTTGTCGTAATATATATAAGTCTACCGAGATAAAATTATTATTAAATAACATCAGAATTAAAGCTTTCGTGTTTTAATATCCATAATAATGTAAATAATACTCGTCCTTTGTACTAATAATGATATTGTAACCAAATAAATATTATTAGTTCCTCTTCAAAGAAATTTCATTGAGAGAAGTTTGCCATTATTATTATAATTCTATTATTATTGCCACAATAGTTTTAAATAAACTGTTTTCAAAATAAAAATGTTAGTCATGCACAACCACCATGTGTTAGAAATGAATTTAAAAAATGACTCACTGGTTGCTGCTTAAATAACCCTTACAGTTTTGTTTTGTTGTTATAATTTTCAAAACAAATAGCCTCACATCCAACTTAAGTTTAAACTAAGTAAAAAAAATTAAATATTACACATAAAGGTAACAAATCGAGAAATATAAAATGTGATATTAATATACAGTGCTGTCTCAAATTAGATACTTTTGTATTGATAATTTTAATTAATTTATGTTACAATTGTTAAAAAAAATAATAGTTTAGAATATCTGAAATACTCGTATACATAACAGAGACAATATGTCCATTGACATAAAACAATAAGTAAACTAGTTAAATTGCAAAAGTTGAATAAAATATAATGTATAAAAAAGGAATTTAAGAACTAGGTGTAAAAGGATTTTTGCCTTGGGCAAAATAAATTTCTCTGTTATTTGTAAATGTATTTTTACTTAAAATTCTTTATGATATTTAAAATATGCATAAAAGATACATCATGCTCTTTATATAATTAAAAAAAAATGAAGAAATTATAATATAAAATGAAAAATTAAGACTAGATATCAGTGGAATTTTGTGTTTAACCAATAAATTTTGATATGTATAAATAATCGATGAGAATTGGGATTTTAAATTGTAGCAATAACATTAATTCAACTTATTTATTTTCAAAATAAAGTTCCCAACAGAAATAAATAATTTAAATTTATATCTGTTGTAACTTTTAAACGATTTGTTGATATTAACAAAATATTCAGCAAATTTACTCACATTTTAACCATTTATAAAAATAATAAACTTTAGCAAATCGATAAACTTTAAATAGAAAATACTAAATATATGTTTATAGATATTGATTATTTACACAAATCAAAATTTATTGCTTTGAGTCAAAATTCCACTTACATCTTTCATATTATATTAAATATAATATTTATTATTATTTTGCTTATTATTTTATGTCAATCGATATGCTATTTATGTCGATATGTACTAGAGTATTTTTTTTTAATGTTTCATAAACAATTGTAACATGAATTGATATCAACATTTTGAGTCAAAGTCATTAAGTGGGTATACGAGAATTTAAAAAAAAAAATCTAGTTTCATTTAACTCGAAGTTTAAATCTAAGAATGTCTGTGCAAGAGGATTTCACAAAATTTAAATTATTTTGGGAGATATAACTATTTAACTACAATAAATCTCCTCTTTGTTTCTCAAAACTTTTCTAAAACGATACCCATGATTTCCCAACTTCTACTAAACTTGAAATTTGTACAGAGTCTTCTCTTCTACAGTTGTGAAAGAAATTTATTTCAGACAGGTGATATTTCGTAAAAAAAAATTATTCTAGATTAAAAATATATAAAAAAAATCTCCAAACTAATTGAAAGGCTAAAATCATGGGTATGGTCATCAGGTGCCTTTATATTGAGACTTGCCATTTCTTCATCAGCTTTTAGAATCAAAATTTTATTATTATTTTTCTTTTATTCTCAAAACTTCAGTTAATGACTTGCAAATCAAAATCTAGTAAAATATTATCTGTCTTTCAAAAATTGCATAAAATCCATGTCTTTAGACGAGAATACCCCCTTAATGTGTATTGAAATAAAAAAACACATTATAATTCTGCCATCCCAGTGAATAAGTGGTTAAGTCAAATTTTGGCAAAAATGTTTTGAATTGCGGTATTAGCTACTTCTCTGAAAATAGTTATTGAATTGAAAAATTATTGGTTAGGAATAAAAGTGGTGTATGGCATCGTGCCTTGAGAAATTTTGAATGTTTTCAAATATATTATTACAAATACTGTAACTTTCATTATTTTTGCTATCTTGTTATATCTGAGCAAATCAAATGTAAATCATAAATCAATTTATCTCCAGAACATTAACAATCGTCATTTCATTTCGAATTCAATTTCAAACAAAAAAAAGAGTTGCCCAATTAATTTACACAAAATTGAATTGAAGTCCTTCTGTATAGTCACAGTCTAAACGCATTTGCAAATAATTTTGTGCGACATTTTCACTTATACTGTGCTGAGCTTGGCGGCATTTTCACATTTTTCAATAGTTTTTACAAAATTGGAAAAGTGCTCCAACACAAAGCAGTCTAAATGCACTTGGGCAAACATTTGTACCAGAGTGGCGCTTAGACTGTGCTTAGCCTGAGTGATTTTTTCAATTATTTAATCCAAAATTTTCATTTTCGATTTTCGGCCCATTACTATAACTACCCTACAGAAAGTTAATGAAGTACTTTATATGAAATTTAAACCATTAATTTTAAATACACGATTAGTCCAGTCATTTGGTGCAAAAAAGGGCTGTTGCCGGTACAGTACTCCGGGAATTCTGAAAATTGGTAATCTTATAGATTTCGAGGTGCTCTTTACGAAAATCAACTCTGACACCTCAAATTTGAACGGCAAGTTGCCGCCATATTGAAAGAATGGCGTCAAAAAACTATGTACGAATTAAACTAGATAAAATTTCCTACAATTCCTTAGAAAACCGTTTTTTTGTAAAATTGATAGTTTGCGAGTACGGCCGCCTCAAAGTCTTTGCCGCTCTCGCCGTAGTATCAAATCTCTCCATATATGACAGCACTTTGAACTTGACCACATTCCTTCTAATAAATAAATATTTTCAATGTTAAATTAAGCGAATAAGATCTAGAAATAAAATAATTCAAATATTTTTCGTTTTTTTTGCTGATTTTTCAACACTTCAATGGCAAAGTAGCTATAAGTAAGTGGCTTGAAGTGTTAAAAAATTAGCAAAAAACAGAAAAATATTTGAATTATTTTATTTCTAGATCTTATTCGCTTAATTTAACATTGAAAATATTTATTTATTAGAAGGAATGTGGTCAAGTTCAAAGTGCTGTCATATATGGAGAGATTTGATACTACGGCGAGAGCGGCAAAGACTTTGAGGCGGCCGTACTCTCAAACTATCAATTTTACAAAAAAAAAACGGTTTTCTAAAGAATTGTAGGAAATTTTATCTAGTTTAATTCGTACATAGTTTTTTGACGCCATTCTTTCAATATGGCGGCAACTTGCCGTTCAAATTTGAGGTGTCAGAGTTGATTTTCGTAAGGAGCACCTCGAAATCTATAAGATGACCAATTTTAAGAATTCCCGGAGTACTGTACTGGCAAAACAACCAAATGACTGGACTAGATATTACACAATAGAACTTTGAAATTGAGCATTGCAAAATAGTGAAAATTGCCTTAACCACTTATGCACTAGGATGACAGAATTAATATGTCAAATATTCTTAGATATTTCTGCAAAGTATTTTAATTTATATAAATAAAATACTATTACTATTATTTACTAAGACAGCACTGTTAATAATAAAATATACCATGCATTTGTCAATTACCTAAACTAAATCTGATACAAAACTAACTTAGTTTCTATCTTAAAACGTATCCGCCGAATCCTCCAGAATGTCCTTCCTTGTCAAGGGGGCGCACTCGTGCGGGTGACACGTGACGACCGGCGGAGGCGGAGGCGGAGGCGCGGACGCGGATGCGGCGACCCTGGTGCTGGTCACCTCGGAGCAGACACAACGCAGACAATTTCCGGTCTCACCTGGCAACACCGCTCCGACGCCATACTCGACACCTGGGAAGAAGATGTATTAATAAATTGGAATTTTGATAAAACATATGATTTGTTAGGTGTAAAAGTTGCATTTTAATAATACAATATAATTACAATTTTAAAGTATACAAATTATAAACTAAAGATAATATGTGGGAAAAGTAAGAGTTCATAATTTCCTGACGTAATAATCGATTTAATCTTTAAGAATCAGTAATAATCTTTAACAATATATTGATTTATGAGTGATTTATAAGAATTTATAGTTAGAAACTATTGCAGTTTTTCAATTTTGTACAAATTTTCAAAATATACTATAGTTATATTAGACAAATGGTTTAAAAGTTCCAAAGGGTATAATCTTATATAAAAAAATGAATCGCAAAATGTATTGGTAAGCGCATAACTTTTTTTAAAATGTTCGTTGATGTCCAAGAACGGTTCTTATGGCGAGCAAAAATCGAATAATTGCCGAAAAAACCCTAAAAACAGCCCTTTTCTTTTTCACATACAAACGTTTTCTAACAAATGTAGAATCAATTATATATATGCTATTATATAAAGTTCATATTCAATTACAAGCATTCGCTGTATACTCCTCCTAAACGATTATTCGAATTTTGATAAATCTTTCTGAAGTTTGTTAAGGAAATTTCCTAGAATGTATGTGATTATATGGTCCTGGGATGTATGTGCAATATTAATAGAAATAAATGAAAAAAATGCGAAAAACGACATGTCATTGTTTGTATTGAAAACAAATTAAAACTATCATCTGCCAAAAATTTCAATTTACTTATGAACCTAGACTATGTTAGAATATGTATAATAAATGTATGATTATGAATAAGAAAAATAAAATGTCTACATTATTATTCCCAAAAAGCAGCTGAGATGTGCCAGAAATTAAAATAATATAAAATGATGGCAGATTGAATGATACACATATAAACGGGTTATGACAAATTAATTCACTTAAAATATGAAATTAAGTATTAATCAGAGCCGGTCCTACCTCTAATGCGATGCATGCAAAAAATACGAGCGCACGCCTTAGGGGGCGCCAACACAAGATTCGGATATTAAATTTTCAATATAGTTTTTTTTTTTCAATATATAATTTCTTTGCATCTTTTACTGATCTTTCCCCAATATTTTTAAAATTTGTAACAATTTCACATTATAACAACAAATGGGAAAGTAAAGATGAATATATACAATTCGGCCCTCACGATATCGATTAGGAGAAGTTTAAGATGCAATTTTGGATATCTTAAATAATAAAAAATTAAATTAATTTCATCCAACATGAAGTACCAGTGTTATGTTATAGTTATGGTTATGTTATACCGTTTAAAAGACTTCAATTTCCAATATAATGTGAGAATTGAGACTTATCATTTTATTTAAAGCAGTTCTACATTTAACATCGCTCATATTATGAATGTATACGCATTTTGGCGTAAAGAGTAACTTAAAAAACAATAATTATTATTTTTAGGTAAACGGTAAATATTACTATATTATATTTAATTGTAGACATGGGTACAGGACAACGACAGTCGGGTCATCTAGTATTTAATAAAAAACTGAATCCCTTACCCATGACAATGCACTTCCTACTAGCACCAGCCTCCTTTCTCTCCACTGCGGAGACACCATCAATAACTACTGTTGTTTCATTTACAGTTTCATTAAAATTATCAGCATTTGTTGTCGAAGACAAATGATTTGAATGCACATTCAAGACATTGGCGCCTTCTGTAGAATCAGACGTCTGATGAAAACTCGAACTGGCCAAATCATCCTGCGACGTATTGTCGAAGTCTGTCGACTTCGGATCCTGTACACTACTAGTTTCGACATCTTCCGAAACACTAACCGACGTGTCGGTAGATTCTGAATAATTGTAAAAAGTGCTCTGAGAATATTCCACCGTATTGGAATTCGTAGTGTCGCCTCCCGGCGTCGATATGAAATCGCTCTGGTAAATTTTTACCAAATCCACGCCATTCGCAGTAGTGGTGGTGGTGCTCGGTGTATCGGAGAATTTCCTCTGTTTTATTTCGTGGTCCAACTGCTGATTCTTGGTCGTAATTAATGATGGTTCTTCTTTAATTAGCGCCATTAGGGCTTCGTCGGGCATGTGATTCGTGTCGCACTGTTGCCACCAGCAGAAGGTCTCGCCGTCCAGGCAGAGGCAGCTCTCGCAAGGATCAGGCCTCCAAATCTGAAGAATAAAAAACTAGTTGTAAGTGATATTTTAATAAGTGAAAGAGGCAGCTATAACAAATTAATTGGCTAATACACCCACTGCAACGCATGGTTCATATAAATCTTGCTGGGGCATATTGATAGTCATACCAAATGCCAGCCTATGGGGCGTCTATTAATCTCGTGAGGTTTTTAAAGGAAGGGGAATTTGTCAAAAAATCACGAAATATCACGTGGGCGAAAGAAAGGTATAGTAAGATATCATGTGTATTTATTTTTTATCAGATTTTTTGTTAAAAAATCCAAACACTTTCAAAAAAAAAAAAACTAGTTGTGCATGGCATCGTGCCTTAAGGCGAATTGCTGGAACTTTCCATACCGTAATGAAATATTCCAGAAATTTTAAACGTTTTTAAATATATTATTACAAATACTGTAATTCATCATTATTTTTGCTATCTTGTTATATCTGAGCAAATCAAATGTAAATTATAAATCAATTTATCTCTAGAACATTAGAACATAGTTGCCCAATTTACACAAAATTGAAAAAGTGCTTCGGTATAGTCACAAGTCTATCAAGCAAATAATTCTATGCGACATTTTCACTTATACTGTGCTTATCTTGGCGGCATTTTCACATTTTTCAACAGTTTTTACAAAATTGGAAAAGTCTAAACGCACTTGGGTAAACATTTGTACCAGAGTGGCGATTAGACTGTGCTTAGCCTGGGTCATTTTTTGAATTTTTAATCCAAAATTACTAAAATATTTCATGGAAAATAAAAAAAGGATGTAATAATTTTTTATCCTCAAAAGCAATTGTTTTGTCAATACAAGCAGAAAGTTTTTTAGATCATTCAAATCGGACGCTTAGTTCACCACTGGTTTTATCAAAGTTGTTTTTAATTTAGTAACAAATTGAGGTGTATGAACTGAAATATTAATTACAATCCAGTAGTGTATTTCAAATTTCACATATGTTACTTTAAGACCGAAAAGTGTCCGACACTCTAATATTGCGGATATAAGTTGGACTTGTTTCGGACATAGCGGGCGTTAGTTAAAAATTAAAAGCAATTCTATAAATACAAAAGCATAAGAACTCTTTTGCTTTTAATTAAATTAAAAAAAATAATATTTTAATAATTCGATGAATTTTTTGCCATCTAAGGCAAAAATATAAGCCGTTCGATCGCTTGTAAATTTTTACAATCCAAGATCTATTGGTAATTTTTTTTAATCATTGTTTTATTGACATTTATTTAGTGGTAAATTAGTTGACAATTTATAGCAAAAGAGTTACCCTGATAGACTTATCGTCTCAATTTCGGCCTACAATTTGAGATTTGTATGCATATTCATAGAAACTTTGATCTTTTGAAAATCTGATGAAGGTTCTGTGGAATTGATGATCACTCGATTATTTTAACCTGGTAGTAGATTAAAAAATTGTACTCCTAGACTAGTAATTCCCAACGTGGGGCGCTCGCCCAACAGAAAAATCCATTTTTAAATTCAGAGGGGAGAGGCAAATTAAAAAATTACACGACTTTAACCCACTTGCTTTGGGTGATTTGAATATAATTTGTAAATACTGTTAAAAAATTGTTAAACATATTATGATCATTGTTTAGTCTAAGTAAGCACAGGATGCATATGCAAATCATATAATTTTTCCATATATATTTCCATAGCTTAGGTAAATACGGATCCCTTTTTAGGTCTAATGCAAACTTTCTCAATATTACGGATTATAGAAAAATTCCAAATTCTGTATATATTCGTCTGTATATTTATAAATTGCCATACCTCCCAAACAGCGGTATAATAATTTTTATATTATATTTTTAAATTTAGAATTTTTAGAATTCAGTAAGTTGCGAGACTAAAAAACACCTTAAGGGCGTATTCTACTGTAGAAGCATGAATTTTGGCCGGTTTTTGAAGCGCTGTATAAAGGAAACAAATTATATTTTTACTATCGATTTTTTATGATTTGTTTATTGATATTTTATAATTACATAAAAAAAATAATTAAAAAAAAATAGAATTCACAAAGTTATGAGCAGTCAAAGTGGGGGCTCAAAAAAAAGAGGGCGTCCTGGGGTGCATGGTTCCAACCCTCCTGGTGATCCGAAACATAAAAAATAGATGGATTCTTAATTATTATAGAAGCCGCTATCGTATGAACCTTGGATAAGTTAAAAAAAAAATTGTTTGAATGGCGACAGTTTGAAAAAAAAATTTTTTTCATGTTTTTTTTTAACAATTCCGAATTTTTTAAAAATACTAAATGAAAAGTTATAGTTTTGGGAAAGGTCCATGCGATAAAGCGATGTATGGAGAAGATCCTCTCCAAATTTGAAGAACTCGAGATATCCTTACCGCCAGCTCGAAAAAAGTAGTTCCGAGAAAAACGCGTTCAAAGTTTTGAGACTCGGTCGGACTAAAACCGAGGCCACGTCACTTAAACGGATATAACTCAGGAAATAATAGTGATTTTGAAAAATCCTTTCAATGACATATTTCTGAATAATCGATTTTTTCAAAATTCTACAGTAGAATACCCCCTTAAGAAATTCAGCTCGCAAAAGTTACTCAAACATTTAATAAAATTTATAGTTCTATGTCTATTGTCGCATAGTGCACACATTCGTTTAAAAGTGCAGTAATTAATTTTTTATGAAGTGATAACGGCAAAGGCAGCAGTAAGGTGTAATCGACGCCTTAACGGATATTTTAGATATTTAATACCGAGATAAAATTTCTTATAGAAAAAATAATATTTATAAATTAAATCTTATATCTTATCTTATAATTCTTATCTCATCTTATCTTATAATCTTATATAAATTCGCATTTCTTATACGCTAACACCTACATCATAGGTTCCTATTCGTCTATTTCTATAGTCTTACGTATGCCTATACGTTGCATTCTATACTACATGCCTTACATCTATACTATGCGCTATATTTCATCACATACTCTCAAATCCCTACATTGTATTACCGAATACACCTAACCTATATCTACTATATATCCTATTACCTATATTTTTTTTACACGCTACATTAACCCTACCGAGAATCGAACCCGGGTCCGCCGCGTGGAACGCGACGACCTTAGCCACTACACCACCGTAACGCTACAATCAACCGTCTTTTTTCGCGTGTCGTCGCGCCACCTCAGTATTAATTATCTAATTAATTAGAAAATGACCCGCGGAAACAACAGTGCGTCCCATATTATATTATTAATGGGGGTACCCGATAGGGTAGTGGTTAAGGTGCGCGACTTCCACGCGGAGGTCCCGGGTTCAATTCCCGGTATAGACAATAGATAATATATATAATAGGTAGAGATAATACATATGGCGTAAGGTAAACCTATATAATATAGGTGAATATATAAATTAGACAGTAGTATTTATAAGAAGTAAAAGGTATGTAGGTATATAATAAGTTAATGACGGTATAGGTATCTCACGGTATGATAGATAATAGATATCTATCTATGATATAGATTAATATAATATAGTATGATAGGTAATAGGTTATCTATCATATTATTAGGTTATGAGTACGTTTATATCATAATAAATACATGTAGGTATTAATGAATACAAATAATACCAGAATAAATATAATCAATGTCATTGAAGAATATAAATTATGTACTCAATGATTCCCTCATACTTGTACAATTTAATGTATAGACTAGCTGTATATAATAGAGTTAATTATATAATAAGTCTATATATTACATTTTTGAGGTCTTATCGAAATATATCAAATTTTTTGAACCGGATTTTAAATTTTAGCGTTCCGGCAAAAAAAATATTAGCACAACACCACTGTATATATATATATATATATATATATATTATATATATATATATATTGAATGGTAGAATCTTGGATTTGTGTATATTTTGTAGAGTTTCGAACAAGAATCCAAAAATAATACAAAATAAAAAACAAGAAAAGTTTTTAATAAACAATTTCTTTATTTAATTATTTGTTAACTGTCAACGTTTCGGAACTAGGTACGTTCCATCTTCAGGACATCTGTCAAGAAACATGATCTTGATGAGATTTAAGCAAACAATATGTTTAGGAATAGAAAATAGATTTTTCTTAAATAATAAATTAATTGTAACAAATAATAGTGTACAGAAATATGATAATATGATCAAAATGAAAATGATAAAAATAAATGAGTGGATTATCAGAACAGGATATTAAAAATGATAGAATTTTTTTATGAAAGTTATGGAAAAATTTTTTTAAGAAAAGATTAATGATAAAATTGAATTAATTACCTGTATGTTTGAATATACGTTAGCACTTTTTCACTAAACAAGAATTTTTAACAAAAAATGAATTTGAGTTATTTTTCCGCCGAATAGTTAACTTTTGTAAATCAAAATTACTAAAAGTGTTGTCTTTTTTAAAATTATTATTTGAAAACAAATAATATTGCTTTCTCGATGTTATACTATTGGCTTTTGGAAGCGAACTAACTGAATTTGATGGTTCATATGTAACACGTGTAAACACTTGAAACGAGAACTGTGAGATTGTATGTGTGTGTTTTTTTATGTTAGGGTGTAAATACTTATATTATTGAACTTAAAAGGAAGTCCATATTAATTATTTGTCAAAAAGTGTAAAAAATTTAAATATGAATCATGTAATAGGTTGTGATCTGATCTAATGTTGACACTGTTAGAAACATTCATGAGAATAAGACAACTCTCCGCGAATAATCTCCTAAAGATGCAACTTTCATGATATAAAATCTTTGGAGTGAAATTAAATGAATGAGCGTTTTCAATAGAGTGTTGTACTAGGGTACTTTTGAATTTTTTTTGTTTATGGTAGACCACACTTAGTTCATGTTGTCTCATTCTCTTGTGTACATATTGCGAGGTTTGTCCAATATATTGAAAAGCACAGTCATTACAAGAAACAGAATATACTACATTAGTATTGAAATTGGATGGGGTGG